CTGAACAAGAGCCACAGACTGCATTCTGAGACTACTTTCTGTGCATCTGGCTTTAATAATATACACAATGGAAGAGGCAGAGTGCAACAAGGCTGGGAATGGATTTTGCTAGCAATGATTCCTCAAATCCCAAAGCAGCTGAAGGAGGATGGAAAAAGAAAAGTTTTTGACACAGGATTTTAAAGAGACATACTTTTTCAGTCATTGCAACACTGAGCACGTGCAAATGCCTATGCGTGCAAACACCTACACACACAGAGACTGTTCCTGTAAATATTAGCTCCCTTCCACAGAAAAGGAAGCAAGACATAAGGGTTATGTGACTTGCCCAAGTTTATATAAATCAGTGGCAGAACAAAGAATAGAAACTGTCTTGATGCCCAGTGCTCTGGGTACAGTCACCAGATTTGTCTGGGAGGAAGAGAAATCCTGCAAAACTCTTCTCTGACAAGCAACATACTTCTCCTTTGAAGACGGGTCTCCAGGAAGAAGAGCTTCTATTAGCCCATTATGTAAAGAAATGAAGTTGTTGTCAGAGATGTCTGACAATCTGGAAAGGGAGCGTGGGAATGCTCCTCTGCCTGGACGGGATCGTTTTCGCAAAGGTCAGAGTTGTCATGCAGCAATCCCACATGAAAGTCCCCATCTTCCTTTTGTGAGTCTGAATGTGCACATATGACCAGCTGGCAGTTAAACCACATGACCAGGTTCTGCTCTGGGAAAAGGAAGTTCATTAGAGGGTTTGTTGTGTTTATTTGCACTGTACTCAGTGCTCTGAGGGAGAAGAAACAGCCCTGCATATGTTACTTGGCACCCAGCTCTTGATGTACCATCATATAAATAATTATAATACAAGATAAAGCCTTTATCTAGGATCATTCAGGAAGGATTGTGAAAAGATTCAACATAATGGAATTATTCTGCTATAATTCAGAGCCACAGGATAAACTAAACTCATGCAACTAATTATTATGACTAGTGCTTAGGTATCCAGAGCTAGGCTTCCTGCGTGTTGTGGTTTTTCTTGTATAGTACAGAATAAGTCCTTACTCAACTAGTTGCAGTAAGGGAAGCCGGGGTGAGACTCCCAATGGATGGGGAAAAGATGCTGCCGATACTAGAAAGAACCAAGAATCTGAAGTCTATGATGTGCCGTGCCCTCTCCCCAACACACCCACCGTCAACTGCAACAGAGGCAAGGAAGACACAGAGGTAAAGGCGTATGCCAGGATGTAGCAGGGCAGCACAAGACCACAAATACGTGTTTTAGTAGCATGCCATGGTGAGTACAGCAAGCCTGTTACGTAGGTGCTCCCCCCACCAAAAAAGCATCATTCACTGGACATGGCAACCCCTACGAATGATTGCGAGGAGACCATTGTCCCAAGCCCCATTTGGATATAACATGTCCTGCTCATGCACAATCGAGACCTTACCGCTGAAAAACAAAATCCCTATCCTGGGCCTGGATGGGGAGAAAGCTGGTGGGTGACAAAGATGACAGAAACAGCCTGGAGGAAGAAGAAAAGATGCAGTGTGAACCCTTCTAACAGTCCAACATTCATTCGTGTGAGACAAGTGAGATTAGACCAGCAACTGGGACATGACATGAAAGTAAACTGTGAGGTAGAGCAAAGGGTGCCATCAACCACCACTCTTAACAGGAGCCTGAGGGCTGGAGATCTTCTCTCATCTTACTAAGAGAAAAGACAGGCGAGTTGGGGCTTGTGAAAGTAAACAGACTCTCCTTGTGGCTAGCAGAACAGACTGACTGGTAGCTGCCTTGGTGAAGACTGTTGTAGCAACAGGCGATAGCAACAGCTTGCCTGCTTTGGTGAAACAGTCTGAAGCGATGACCGGCAGATCAGGAACTCTGCGCTGGCTACAGAATGCCCGAAGACACATTGAGAGCTCACAGGTATGGCAGGATGAACGCGCAGAAAGTTGGGACATGTCTTGATGGGTCATGGGGGCCCAAGTTTGCATCTTGCTTATCCTGCCTCAGACAGCAGTGGCTAAATGATGGGTTCTTATTTCCCCAAGTCAACAGCACTGAGGAGGAGGGATGGTCTTCTAGGTAACATCCACCGGTGAGATGTGGGACAGAGTAGACCGTGCCTTCGGCTCATCACGTGCAGAGGTCTGGCTCCCTAGGGGCTCTGTTACATTACCTGTGCATTTCAGCTTCTGCCAAGCACAGAGGCAAGTAGGCTTTAGAACATAAAGGCAAAAAGCAAAAGAGCCAAAAGTCCCTTGGCTATTTTAAAAATACCCACAAGAGCCACATTTAAAAGGAAGAAGCTGGGGCATAAAACATGTTTTGGGAATGAACTTACTAAGAAAGCAACAGCTGTTATCACTGAGGTCACTAATTCTACAAGCTGTCTCCTGCAGCATCTGAGTTATATGTATATATGAGGCTTGAAGGATAAGGGCATTCCCCACAGACGTGTATACTGCCTCAATCTCCTCTTCCCTGACCTAAGGACTCTCAGTCCCTATTTGGGAAGAATTCTAAGGCCCAAGTGAGTCTGGACTAACTGACTCCCCTCTGTGTACTGGGCAGGAGTGGAAAGATTTTACAATAAGGCTATTTGATGCTGTCCAGCAGCAGATGACAGAGAGCCACGTCAATGTCTTCACAGACCTCTTGGAGGCAGAGAAGGCTTTTGTCCTGCAGAGAGCTGCCAAGGCCATCCAAAGAGGTAACTGCTTGGCAAATGAGAACTATATCCAGTCCTCTTATTTTAGCTTTCCATCACCACACTTTTTCCTTTCATCTGAGTGCCTTGTTGTCTTGCATAAATCATTAAGGTCTCCATTAATCTTTGGCCTCTTTCATAATATATATCTTGGCATTATAGCGTGCCCAGCTCTGTTATAACTGAATATCTGGAGTTTAGCTGGGTAGTAATCATGGCAGGACATACTCATTTATAAACAGATTTAAATTCTAAGCTGGCACAGTAGCTTTTGCTAGTGATACCAAGGGCTTTTCTTGGATGGCTCAGATGGTGCACAGTAAGAGAAAATGCCAAAATGCATTTTCTGCATGGATGATAGGATCTTGTAATTGTAGTTCTAATACAATCATTAGAAGTCTACATGCTCATCACCAGAGACACCCTTCCTATTTGCTGTCTTGGCTGCTGTCCCTTTATCCTGATTAGCACCGAAGGAATCTTCTGATTGTTTCAGGAGACTTGTATAAAGCCATGATGTCTCAAATTAGCACTTGCTTAGAGGAGCAGCTGTACAGTCAAGTAGCTCATGAGATGAGAGATGGTGATCACCTGAGAAGCAAGTTGTCCCTGATCTTGAGTCACATCAGGAATGGAGTGGTATGCTTTCTTGCTGTTTTTTTCTAGGTTTATTTGCATGAAAACTGTTCAAAACTCAAAATAAAGAATTCATATGATGTGCAGCAGTTCCAGATGGATGAAACAGTTGGGCAAACTAAAGTCAAAATGTGTTCTTTCGTAGTCCTTCATCTATATTGCTAGCGGTAAGATATTTGCCAAGAACCCCAGATTGTGCTCTTGGCTAAAAGTCTCATTTTAGGACCCAAATTCTGTGTGTAGTCACAAATACAGAACTGACATGCTTGTATCTAGTGAGCTACACACTTCAGCTTCTCCATCATTCTGCTCAGGAGAGACAATCAGTTCACCTCCCAGCTCACCTCATCTGTTCTGCTTAGACAAAAGTTGATACCAGGCTGCTATGAAAACCTGAATTAACCATCCACCTTGTTCTAGGTGGTTACAGTACAAAAAGCCTTCTTCGCAATAGGCTACCTACTGGGAACAGGTACCTGTCTGCCTTTTTATGGCTCATGTATGAAAACTCTTCACTGAGCAGCTGCACTGCACACCAGGGCTCCAAGTCTTATAGAAGGGGGCATTTTATTTTTGTGCTAGAAGGCATCAGTTTAGAATTGAGCTGCTTGTCCTGTTTTTCAGATGAATTTGTTAGAAGAAAGGCCAGAGCTGAAAGGGAAAATGCATGCTTTTCTCAACCAGCCTCTCCCTGCAGACTTCAGAAGGCTTACCTGGAGGCTCTACCTGTCTAATCCAAGAGGTATTCCATTTTTTTCAGTGGTTCTTGCTCTAACTATAAAATATTTGACCAGGCTTTGAGTACATTTACAAACCAATGTAACCTAGAATTAATAGCCACCCACTACCCACAAATGCAAAGGACCTTGGGACTGCTGTTCACACCCTTAATCATAAGTATAAAAAGCTCTATGTAGAGCTAATTATAAAAAAAAAAAACAGTATTTTTTTCTTGGTCCACACATGTCATTCTTTCAAAAGACATGGTAAGAAGGGGTTCCTGGGAAGCCCATGAGGAAATTCTCCCAACAAACTTAAGCGCAAGCTGGAGTGACTTCCCTGCTTCATTCACCCCTGCTAGGGAGGACTTATCTCTGGGGCTCACAGAATAATTGTGAAGACATCATCAGACATGATGCCTCATACAGCTTGGTTATTACACACTTGTAAGTGTCATATCTGATGCTTATTTGTTCCTTATGCAATTCCTCTGAAAACAATGGTCCTGTGCAAAATATAGTCCAAAACTCCTTTAAAGCAAGCAAGCTTAATGACACAGCAGGGTCCAGCAGTGTGATAAGAAGCCTGGTAAATAACAGGAACCTTAAGAATAAAGTCCTCTGTCACAAATTACAAATCATGGGTGGTGGTGGGGAATCAAACCCAATGTCTTCCCCATATGGTCTATTTTTTCCCCAGTACGCCGAGACTATCTGTCTCAAGTAGCAGCGAATAAAGCTAAATCCCCAAAGGACCGGGAGATTTTCCTGAAGTCTCAGGCTCTATTGTCCACTGAACCCATTTTTCAGCACCTGAAAGACAATGAAGGTAATGTTGCTTGTAGTCCTGCTATCACTGATAACAGTTGCCTTTCTAGCCTGCATTTAGGAATGCACACAACACCAAGAAAGAGGAAAAGGGGGTGAGGACAAAGACCCAGGAAAATGACTGATGTTTTAAATTTCAGTTGCAGCAAGGTGTTTGAGGAATGTCCTCTCCTATTACCATAAGCTTCAGGGCACAGCCACACATCTGCCTGATATGGAATACTTTCTACTGCTGCCTCTGTTGCAAGTTGCCCTGGACCCTGCTGCTCCCAACCTGTCTACAGACTCCATTTCTGCCCTTCTGGTGGAAGAGTTTATCACATTCATGAACCTTCGACCTCGGTTCGTGAGACTCTCTTTCACCCAGGTAGAGTCAAATGCCTCTCACATTTCAGGGCCATCACTTTTCAGAGAAAGAGGATGCTAGTATCCAGAGAGGCTTTGTCACTGCAGAGTCATCATCACTCCTGCTCTGTTCCCCATCATGTATCTCTTCCTCTTAGCTGAACCTCCCAGCACAGACTCCTGGCTCCTGAACTGATTTCCCCACCCTCAATCCTTCAAACTGTCCATTCTGCCTGGGAACTACCTTGGAGCTGGCAGAATCCAAAATACAGGGCCCCTTCTATGATAGCAAAAGGAGAAAGGGTGGCTGTGGACACAAGTGGTTAGAGCAGAGGTCTGGGAGTCAGGAGACTTGCATTCAGAGAAGACTTCACTAACTTTGTGATCTTGCCCAAGTTACAACCTGCTCTCATGCCTCTCCCACCCACAAAATGTGGGTAATAATTTCAACATCTGTAAATGCTCAGCTCTTTGGATGAAAAGTGCTATGAGTGCAGAAGGGTATGTAAGAAAAACAGTCTGGTCTCCTACTGAAACCACAGAACAGACAACAGGTACCAAATCCTGTAGACAGATGAAAGTGAAATGGTATATCCACTCAAGTTATATAAATCCAGTATGAAGGCATTTCAGCTTGGGCTAGAGAGAGCAACTGATCATGCATTTCCTTAATTCTCTGAAGCACCCGTTAACGGAATTCAGAAATGACAGATACCAATAAGACATTGCATCTCATTGTGTCCTCCCCTCAGCCCAATCTGCACTTCAATCTCTTACATGTGGTTTCTTTTTCTAGGATGCTGCTGGTACCGATGTATTGGGGGAAGTAAGCTCAATGTTACATGAACAGGACAGGGACCTGACCACAGTTATTCAGGGCATTTACAGTCAGGCAGGTAAGGTGGCTTGGTAGTAAAGTAAGGAGTGAGTATGATGTTACAACAACTTTCCATTTGCTTGGAGGAGAGACACAGAACCTCATCTTCCTGGAGTTTGGGATTCAGAAGACAGGACATTCATTATTGCAAAGGAAAGCAGTCCTCTGTGTCAGATCCACTGCTGGTGTGTATCAGCACAGCTCCACTGGATCTGCCCCATCCGCATATACAGTAAAAGCTCTGTTATCTGGCATCCCCCGGGAATGGGGGATGCCAGTTAATCAAATATTCCGGTTAATCAAATGTGCATCGTCTGGTGCACTCCCTAGTGTCAGTGTGCTGGGGGACAGGGAGGGGGGCCCCACGCAGGTTGCTTTGCCCTGCTCAGGCTGCTTTGCCCTGGGCTGTGGGCCGAAGAAGTGGCAAAGAAAAACTCAGCACGGGGTGGTAAAATGGGAAGTCCCTCAGAAGTGGTACTTCCAGTTTCACTTTTGCCGCATCCCTCAGATGCCAGTTAATAGTTTTCTGGCTAATAAAGTGCCAGTTAACACAGCTTTTGCTGTATGAAATAGTTCCTAGCTCATGAGAAAACCAGTCTGTCAATCTTTAGTTGAACTATCAGTCAAACTCAAACTCCAGCAGTTGTGCTGAACCAATTTAAAATAGGAGAGCTGTATGCCTGAGGACCTGAATGTCTTTCATTGTGGCTTTGCAGAGGAAACTCAAGAATCCCTGTTGAGAGCCGTGAAGCACATGCTCCAACCAGCCATCAGTACTCTCTTTGTGGGTAAGGCTGCCTCTGAGGTGCCTAAATGAGTCAGAAGCCCTTTCCTGGATTAACAGGACATGCTGCTCCTTTCACAGGCTACTTGAGCATGGATACATTACTGTATGTCTGGGACCAGCTAATAATTGGACTTGACCAGCCATCATACAACTGCTTCCCTGCATTCAGTGCAGTCTTCATCCTGCTCCTTCGGGACTATCTGAAAACATGTCAGTCAGTAAGTGTCACCATTTCCTCTCTCACATAATTTGCAGTCTCATGAGATCTCATTCCATGATAGTTTGTTTTATAAATCATCATATGGGGTAAATAAAACATGAAGCTAAGGCGGCAAATCAGAAGCAAAAGGCAGAGTGTTCAAAAACAAACAAGCTCAGCAGCAAAAGAGGGAACTGAGATATAACAGAAGTCCATGCCACAAAAACCTACAACCTCTGCAGTCCCATTTTATTACAGCCTATTGCTTGATTCAGCCAGGCCAGGTGGAAGCAGCTCTAAAGACTCGAGGGCCAACTTTGTCTGTGCAAGAATTCCAAGACATGATCAGAAGACACTACTTCAAGGAACTCTACAGCCGGCTGCACAAGGATGACAATGAGCCCTTTGCAATCCATGACCCCACCCAAGGTGAGATCATATCCTGCCCATGGCATTGCACAAGAACTACACCTGACTAGGTGTCACTGGAGCAATTTACTCAGCTAGATTCAAGCTGCCTTAGAGTGTAATGTGTCCTATTTAGTCCTGAATAATTTTACTGCTATAAACGCATGGGAGCATATGCAGACAGCCTAAATTAGCAAAACCATCAGATTGCTGCACATCAGGGATCACTATAGGATGGTTTAGTCTTACCTGTATGTGAGCCCAAATTATGTTTTCACCTTATTAATGGAGGGTGCTTCAGCAACTATCAAATCCATACAATTCACTGACAGGATCATAACTGCCATAAGCAGAAGAGACAGAATACTACCATGCTTTAATTGGAGACACGGTATATTCAGTTTTCCAGACACGTTGCCTTTTCTATATATCCAAAAATAGCAGCCAAATGCTTTCACACTGAAAGGCTTATTCCAGGAAACACAAGAAAAAAAAAAGTCAAGTTTTCCTAGGGGAAGAGCACAATGGCTGAATCTCCCCTGTACAGGCTGTAGCTCTTCCAAGAACAAAGTGGTTGCCACCCTTACCCTGAGGCATAGTTCTTACTGTGGAAATACTGTACATCACAACTGCCCCACAGAAAGCCCATTTCTTGGTCTACAGAATCAATATAATACCAGCAGAGAAGAAGGCTGGTAAATTAATGCTCTGGACAGGACATTCTGCAAATTCTGATGTCTGACATGAGAGCACAAGCTACCAGTACCCATTGTTAAAATATTCCACAACACTACCCACATCAAAAATTAAAAGTATGTATTAGCTATACATGTTTTTAGTTTTGTTGGATAATTCTAAGACTAGGCAAATAAAAATAGCCATGCTCAGATGAAAAAGTACTCATCCTTCATAGAAACAGTATCAAGAAACATCTGGACGTATGTCTCATGACAGGCAGTGGAGATGGATTCAGATCTCTGGTGACCTCTGTGTGCTGTTTAGATGTCTGATAAATGCAGTGTTCTCACCAAAGCCTTTTGGTGCTTTTACCCCCAGCTTTGCCTCCCTGGAGCTACTTGTCCAGAGTACCAGTACCGCCAAGAACAAGACCTGAGGACAGGAAACAGGCAAGGTAGTTCTCTCTTGGGTACATATTGCTTTCACATTAAAGGCCGGGGGTTTTATGACCACCACTCTGAATCCTCTTTAGAGGGCATTAGATTAAGCCATACCAGGCCCATATACTTCTGCACATCAACTAATTTTCTTTTAGTAAATTGCAATGAAAAATGTTGAAAGTAGGAGGAGGAGCTTAATTATTTTTTCAGAAATCTTTGGATCACAAGCCCAACAGTACCAATTGAAGTGTAAGCAAGCAAAGAGTACAGAAGTGAGTGTAGAGAAAGAGTAAAACAGATCATTGTAGCATCATTGCTACCCCTTACAAATGAAAAACAAAAAGAAATCAGACTTTCATACTTCACAGTGGGGACTGAAGCAGAGGCACTACATTCACCTCCAGGGAGCCTAAGGAAGCATGAACATTGCAGACCCCACTTATAGAACAAAAAATGTCATATACCAGTAGTTTCCTAGCTGCCCTTAGAGTGGAGGTTAAATTCCAGTTACACACACAGCTTCTACCATTCAGTGAAGTCTCTCAGTCACCCTTTTCTCACTTTTTTCCTTTGTACTAATATCTTTTCCTAGATGTAGTTGCTGCCAAAATACAATAATTGACCAAAACCTTTAGCATCATTCACTGGCAGCCTCCAATACTCAATGCAGTAAGTTAACAAGCAAAACACCACCCACTAACTGGCTTTGTCAGGCTTATGCTCTCTTCTGAGCAGATGACTAAGCTGAAGTCTGATATTAGCACACTGCCATGTTCAAAGTTGAGACCAGACGAACAATCAACAGTAGTAGGGGTGGAACCCACACATATTTTGTAATGAACACCGTATGTTCTGGCCTGCAGGGAA